CAGGCAGCACTCTGCGAGGGTGGCCCTTCTGTTCAGACCAGGGGTCTCCCCAAAGCTGCAGGTGGCTGCAGGCAAAGGAAGAACCAAACTCTACTTGCGTGGACCCCGGTCTCCCAGACCACTTGGGAACAGAGGACTTTTAGGTGGAGGCTGGGTTTGAGAACAATAAGGAAAGACCAAAATTGTAAAATCTTGAGGTTCTTGTACAGTCTCAGGGCAGTTCCCTGTTAAACATCGGAAAAGCTCCGACAGAGCAAACTTGGCTCTCACGGCCCTGGTTCTGGCGGCTCATGTTCCATCCATGAGATCACAGAACCTCGGATTGGGGGCCAGGAGGGGAGTTTTTTTCATTCCTCTCACTCTTGAACAAGACTGTACCAGGTGGCTGTCATTTTTACTGCTAAAGATCCCCTGAGGAAGGAGATTTTTACAACATTTCCTCCAGCCCAGTCGATTCTGGGCTTTAAAGTCAATGCAAGTGCCCGATGGGGAGGGGGTGGTCCACTGCCATCATCTCCACCAGTCTCCCCACCCCAGCCCACCCCTTGGTCTTACGACTGACGAGTGATGTTTCCTCTATCCTATGGAAAATGCTCTACTAACACAACTTGGGGATCAGTCCCCTGAGTCCCTGTTTCCCCTTCAGACTGCCATCCCTGAGCCCCTCCTAATGAAGTTATGCAGCTCCTGCATAGACATGAACTACTAATCTCTCCTGCTCCGACTGGCTGGGATCTGATTCCCGCCTCCCATTTCGCTCTCATGCTTCATCAGTGCCTTTATGGCCAACCGTGTCTCCCTCCTCCCAGAAGCTCTGAGCTTCCCTGGCTCTCGCATCTGCTCAAGCAGATCCCTTCCCCTGAAGCTCCTCCACCCCGTCTGCACCTGTGGGCACTCTGCCGGGTCATCGAGGCCCAGCTCAAAGCCTCTGCAGGGCAGGGGCCTCATTCCACCCAAGGGGAGTCCCTCGCTCTGCCCACCAAACCCTTGCTCCACAGCTCAGCTCTTGGCACTGGGCAGCCAAGGCGGGAGCGTGAGTGCTTATCTCCCTGTTAGATCACAAGCCCATTTAGGGCAGGGACCTTGCCGTCCCCAAGGTGCCTGGCTCAGAACAGACCTTCTGTTCTGAAAACAGCTCTGTGTCTAATGAATTAATCATTTTTTGTCCAGCCCTCAGGGTAGGTGGACAACAGTTATTATTTCTAATAACAGCAGGAAGACAAATATCGCCCTGCCCACCCCCACCCACCCCCACACACACACCCGGTGGTGGGCATTTCTCTTTGCTCTCAAACCAATAAGGTTGCTCGCATATTCTCGCAAGAGGCATCAGAGAGCCTGGAGGAGCCTTGGAAGGCTCTCAGCTCCCTGCCCAGGCTGTACCAATCAGGAAACCGAGGGGAGTGAGGGGCAGGGCTGTGGTCACTGGCACACCCGAGGGTGTCAGGGGCATACCCGACTTGTGGTACTGAGTTCTGAGGCTTCAGCTGCTCTGCAGCTGGCAGACAGCTCCATTGTGACTGCCTACTGATCTCTGGTGCGTGGTGGCGGTCAGTGGCACCACAGGTCAGCCGTCACGGCCACACCCAGCAGCGGCTAAGAGCGACCTTGGGAATGCTGGAGCCACGGAGCGGCACCCCCGTAAGACACAGCCTGCTGGAGCGACACTGCGACAACCCAGCTCTGCCAGGTGGGCAAGCACCTACTTCACCCTTTCATTTCGCAGCCCGTGAGCGGCACAAAGACAGGGTTCGGCCTGCTCTCTCGCGCACCAGGGCACGGGGCTGAGGGTGTGGGGGGCATCTAACCAGAGCCTCAGGGAGTCCACAAAAGGTTTAGAATGAAAAGGATTTGCACACTTTCTTTATTCATCCTCACCCGAGGACATTTTTCCATTTTTTTGTTCACATAGAATGGGAGAGAGAGAGAGAGAGAGAAACATCGACATGAAAGGGACACATCAAGTGGTTGCCCCCCCATATGACCCAACCAGGGCCGGGGACAAACTGCAACCGACGTACACGCCCTTAGCGGGAACCGAACCCCAGTCTCTCGGGACCACAGGCTGACGCTCTAACCGCTGAGCCAAACTGGCCAGGGCAGGATTTGCACATTCTTGAATTTCTTTTTCTCCATTCCTCCTGTCTTTAATCCAACAAAAGGAAGCTGACTTCCCCAAATTCCATTTCTGGTCCCGCATCTGTATCAGCGCTGCTTCAGATGAAGTTATCCGAGTCGGGCGCGTCCAGTGTGGGAGGACAGGAAACACGCGCAGCCGAGTGAGAGGCCCAGAAACCCAGACAGACTATGAGGAAGGGCAGAAACGCACGCGGGGAAACCAGCAGAGACAACAAAAGGGGCAGCTCTTGCCCCCAAAAGCCACTGTACGAGCAAGGGTGGCACAGGGCAGGGGCTGTGGCTTAGCAGCTGTGAAGAACACAGAGGTTTCGGTAAACATTTGACTCCATGTGAACTGACAGGCTGCAGTGAGGGAATGAACAGGCGGGTAGGGCCTCTCCACTACATCCCCGAGTACAGCAGGGAGGAGACAGGGCTCCCAACTGTGCCGGGGAAGTTGCTGTCTCGTTTGGGGAGACCTGAGTGTGAGACTGCTGTCCCCTTACCACAGGGACAGTCAGAAAAAGAGGAAGTGACGGGGGAGGGGGCGAAGCCTAGGGGCTTGCTGACGCCGGCCCACCCAGGCTACCTGCAGCCCAAGGCTGTGTCTAAGGGGAACACCAGAAGCAAACCAGGCAGCCCGGGGCTTGCAGGTGGAGCCAGGTGTGGTCCCGAGGGCAGGTTACTGGCAGAGACACGGTGGCTCCAGGTGTGGGCACAGGAAACAGGAGCCAGCCCCTTGGAGAGCAGGGGGAAGACAGAACAAGACAGCGTGGAGCCCGGCCAGGCAGCCAGGGCCTGTGGGAGACCCAGCCCAGCCAGGAGCAGGGGCGCAGGCAGGGCCCCCAGAGCAGCATCCCAGTGAGATGGCAGCTCCCAACTCCCTACAGCGCTGGCCCCCTCGGGGGCAGGCCTGGGACCCAAGAGGAGGACATCAGGGAAACCAGAATAAGAAAGAGCCTTCTAATGGGCAGAGGAGCCAGCAGAGGGCAGAGCAGAGGCTGGGGTCCCATCTGGAGGCGTGGCTGGGACCAAGGGCACAGGTGCTGGTCCGGGTTAGACCAGCAGTGTCCAAGAGGCTCTTCAGCCCTCGTTTTGTCAGGTTCACTCTTCTCACCCTGTTTTGGAGAGGAGCCCCCTAAGCTCAGCCCAATTCCCGGTGCGCTTAGGGACTGCAGGAAGTAGGGGTAGGAGACAGGATGAGGACGGAGCTCGCTCCCCAAAGCAGTGAAGCCCGACAGGCTTGGAGACAGTCAGCCTGGCTTGAGTCCCGCTCTGCCTCTCGCCAGCCACACGACCTTGACCACAGCACAGAATCCACCTCACCCGGCTGCTGCGAGGGTTCACTGAGGTCATAAAGCGATCAACAAATAGAGGCCGTCTTTATTATCACTTGTGGGGTGACAAGTCATTCCCCAAATCTAAACTTGGAATCAGAAGCCAGGCCTGTGACGAGAGAGTACGAGGCGTGGGTGCAGGGGAGTCAGGGGCTGAGCAGCGGGGTTTGCTGGCAAGAGGTCAATGGATGGAGCAAGTCCGCCATGGCCTCGGGGGCACCTCCACCCACGAGCCATCAAATGACAGGTTACATAAAAAATGACAAAGTCAGTTCTGGAGATGGGCGGTGGTGATGACTCCACCACAGTGGGGATGTACTTGCTACCACTGAACTGTATACTTAAAGAATTATTAAAATGGTAAATATTGTTATGTATATTTTACCACAATAAAAAAAAATGTTAATGACGAAGTCACAACTTGGCCCCAAGTCTACTGATCACAACCCCGGTGTCCCTCCCACCACCAGACAGGTGTGTACTAGTGATATGTTCAGAGGGAATGGAACTCTGAATCGTATTGACTTCCTTTCTTCAACGATAAACCAAGCGCTGTTCAGATCTTTTCCAATTACTGGGTTTGGGACATGTTGAGCACTGGTACATGTCATTTTACCAGATTCTTGTCAAACAGACTAGAACTATTAAAATGTTCTTGGTAGTACAATGCAATGATAATTGTAAAGAAGCCCCCAAACACTGAAAGTTCTACATGCCTTCCAATTTCCCAAATCCTCGGGCGGTCACTCATCTCTAGCCCACGGTTACCATCACTGAGCTCCTACTACGTCCAAGACCCTTCACTGGGCAGCAGGGACGGCCACAGCGACGGCTAAGAGAAGACAGCCGCCCTCAGCTCACAGGGAGCAGGTGTTTCTCCATGGAGTGGACACACTGGAACCCCTGTGGGGCTCTCAAAACACACATCCCCAGGCAGTGGGCTCCCTCGCCTGCAGGGCCCACACAGGGTACAGGGGATCTGATGCATCTCTGATTGAGAACTGCTGTTGTGGGGGACAAGATAACCATTTAAAAATCAGAACAACAACACAAAATGGAATGAATTAACTGAAAAAGTCACGGAGGTCTACACGGGCCCTCTCAGGGAGATAGAATACACTATTAAATTGACACTCGTTCCCCAGTGACTTTGGAGAAGGGGGAGTTTGTATTCATGGAAGGAGGTTGGAACTCGGCATTGAGGAAGGGAACTCAGTCACTGACTTTAATTATCTTAAAAGCTTTAAGATGTCTGACCAGTTTATATTTGCAAGAGTGTTAAGAGGAGTCACCTTTAAACTTTAAGATGTTGGAGCCTAAAAACACTCTTTTTGATTATTTACTGTTTCAAGTTCAAGGTTATATTAAGAGGACAGCCTGATCCCTTACTGGGCAGAGAAGCCAGGCAGTTAGGAGAAGGGACAAGGTTGCTTGGACAGTCCCCCACAGGGCTTCCGGAATACAAACTGTATCCATCATTGTTAGTAAAAAATATTCACAGTGACTCTCTGTTTTTCTCTCCTTATCACTGAGCATCCTTCAGACATGGATACAGTCAGAGGCCCCAGAGAGAGTCTGGTCCAAACTGCCCACTTTCCAGATGACAAAACTGAGGTTGAGAGAGAAGTAGTCCGTCCAAGCTCGCACAGTGATTGGAATCCCGATGGACACGCCCCAGGCTCCTGGCCCCAGGTAAGGGTGGCAGAGGCTTCTGGGCGGAAGCCCCACTGTGGGACAGGCCCTGGGCTGTTCTTCCTCAGAACCCTTTCATTCCTTAGCTGCCCGTGTCCGGAGGACGACATCCTGTACCCGACTCACAGCAGAAGCTTCTTGAGAGGTGTGCCACCCTCCTCCCTTCCCAGGGCCCAGGGTGAGGGCAGTGTGTGGTTTCCAAAGCAACTCACAGATGGATGGATTCATCCTCCACGGCCACTTCGGAGGCAGCAGGGGAGGGGAGTGGGGAGCGAGGTGACGCCAACGTCCCATTCACAAACACGGACCCTCCGGAACCAGCTTCCCCGCTGCCCCGCCTGAGCTCAGGGGAGGAAGACACCTCTGGCATTCTGGACTCCTGGAGCCAAGGAAGCTTCCAGAGGACTTGGCGAGAGGCATTTGCCTGGAAGCCAATACAGCCCAGCAGGCTGACTCCAGAGTCCAGGACTGTCCCTCCTGGCGGGGGCAAGTCTTAACATGCCGGGGCAGTGGTTTGCACACCTGTTAACAGACACTGCCCACACCCTGCTGGGAAGCATGACACAGGGTGACATTTCCAAGTGACAAAACAGCCAGTGCAGGCAGCTGCGCACCCTGGCACACAGGCCCACAGCTCTGCGGCTCGAGGCTCACGGCCTGGCGACAGCAGCAGGGGGCCGTCACACCTCCAGGAAAGGGCAACGGGCAGGAAGCCCTCTTTGAGGCAGAAAAAGTTAAACCCACATGTTTAAATATTTAGCAAATATAACCAAAATGTCACCCAGAGAATGTCAGGGCTGGCGTGGTAACCATGGCAATCCACGGCCAGCAGCAGGCCCAGGGGTGAAGAGGTGCTGGGACTGAGGAGAGCCAACAAGAGGGGATGCGAGGGTGCTGGGGAGGGTCACAGGGGGTGTGGCAAGCTCGCAGGGCCCCCCACAGAGACCAGAGACACTTAGGAGTCAAAAGCACAGGGCAGAAGCTAGGACTTCTCAGACCAGTGTCTCAGCCATTGACTCAGTTTCCTCTTCCGTAGATGAGGGGAGAATAAGCCTACCCCCAGGTTTGTCATCCATTCACTCTTTTTCTTTCTTTTTTTTTAATCCTCACCCGAGGACATTTTTGCATTCATCTTCAGATAGAACAGGAGAGAGAGAGAGAGAAACATGGACATGAGAGAGACACATCAACTGGTTGGCACCCACACGACCCCAACCGGGGCCAGGACAAACTGCAACCGAGGTACGCGCCCTTAGCAGGAACCGAACCCAAGTCTCTCTGGACCACGGGCCAACGCTCTAACTGCTGAGCCAAAGCAGCCAGGGCTGTCCGTTCCCTCTTTACACTTACGGAACACCTGCTCTGTGCCGGGTGCTGTCTCCCGTCAGCCCCCCGACATGGACACAGCTGGGGAACAGGCGCGGGCCAGCCGGAGTGCTCAGTTCCACACCGGCACACAGTGCCCAGGCCAGTGCCCAGGCCATGCCCAGGCTGAGCCTCCTCCTAGAAAGGGTGCTCGGCTCGAGAGGGGGGGGTGGCTGGAAAGGCTCCAAGAGGAAGAAACATCTGTGCTGAAATCTAGAAGTCTGGGAGATGACGTCAGGCAGGCAAAAGGTTTGATAGTACATGTGAGAATGCTCCAAAAAATACGAAGCACTAGACAAGACAAGTTGACGTCATCATCACTGAGGCAGTTGCTAAAGTGCCTGACTCTGGGCTTTCTAGGGTCGTCTGACAAGGACTGAAGGTGTCCAGGCTGAGCGCTGCTCCCCTCCTCTCCTCCCTCGCTCCCCTCCTCACCCCCTGGCTCCCCTCCTCTCCCCCTCGCTCCCCTCCTCTCCTCCCTCGCTCCCCTCCTCACCCCCTGGCTCCCCTCCTCTCCTCCCTCGCTCCCCTCCTCACCCCCTCGCTCCCCTCCTCTCCTCCCTTGCTCCCCAGCCTCCCTGCGTGCAGGCGCCTAGGAGGAGGGTGCAGAGTGTCCTCAGCCGATGCACCGCAGTGCCCGAGCACTATCCCCTGGAACACACTCCCGTTTCCAGTCTCTTGTGTGTGCGGAGACCTGGCCAGGGAGCGTGTGTCAGAGTGGAGCGGGAGGTGGATGTGAGCTTGGCAGAGGAGGCCGCTAGCTGGAATGTTCCCATCAAGCTCTATACCCCTGTGGTCCTGGAGCCACGCGATGCTCAGAGCTCCCTCCTCATCTCTGGCAGCATGCCTGGGTTACGGAGCTCATGTCCTCAAACCAAGCAGGCTGAGAGGGCCATCTGTCTGGAGGTCTCGAAATCTCAGGGGTCCCCAGTCCATTCCTCTCAAAAGGAATGCCTTGGCCTTCGGAGCATCTCTGAGCCCAGTGAAGGCAACTCAGATTCATCAGCCGACCAGTCAGACACTCGCGGGGAATGTCTGCCAGCGGCCTGCAAGGAGGGGGCCCCAGCCTCACGAGGGTTAGGCAGCTGCCACCTGCCCCAGAGGACAAACACACCTTCCTCCTGTCCTCCCTCCATGCCTCTTAAATTCTCAGGCCAGTTTCATCCCAAACACACACTCCTCTTCTATGGCACTCACTAGCCTGGGTCCCAGGAATCAAGTGGAGGACCAGCAGCTCCCAAGGCAGGGCTGGGTCTGAATCACTTCTGAAGTCTCAGTGCCTAACACAAGTAGTCCTCACCTTCCAGGCAAGCTGAGGGTGTGACCTGAGCCCACTGTCTTCTCCAGGGAGAAGGGAGGGTGAGGACACACCGTGAGATTCAGCTGAAACCATCTGCCCATCCCTGATGGAAAGATGCCACTCACCCACTTAGCAGGGGGACCCCACAAGCACCTGAGCAAGTGACACCTCTGCACTCCAAATGCCTGCGTGCTGTCGCCGTTATGGAGGCTTTATGTACCCAGGAGGGTGCTCCGATCTCTGGACATCATGCCACCGCAGGTAAGCCTTTCTGCAATGCCAGCTTTCTCTTGAATAAAATTTATGTCCTATAATTTGAAGTAATTTTCTTGTCAGCTGAGAACACTATTGGTAGTTAATAAAAATATCTACTTTTACGTAGCTAATAAATGAAAAGTCTCCCCTTTTATGGGCCCCCTGTGTTTCAAGCTGATGAAGTCGCAGGCCCGTCTCTCGTCACAACCATGCTTCTGTCAGGTTTGAGGACACGAGAAGCCACCAGAGCCAGTGCCAGATCTGGAGGGAATCAAACTGTCAGACAAGAGTGGATGCCCCACCCTTTTGGTCTAACTGATGATTCTACTTTGCATGTGGCCAATAACCACAAACTGAAATGATGTCTAAGTCTCCATCCACACACGGAACATGGAAGAGCTACCACTGAACGATGTCCTCTCCTGGGCTCCCAGCAGTCCCCCCAACTAAATCCAGCCAACACCATGTGCCAGGTTCTGTCCTGCAACTGCTGTCCCTGCAGCTTCATTAAGGACACCAAGGCTCCTCTCGGGGCCTTCGAGGTGGGTGTGTCTGCACCCACCCTGTCCCTCCCCCACCCCCACACCCAGGCTGTGTGCCCGGCACTTTCTGCCTGGGGCGTGGGACCCCTTCCCTCCCGTATGCTCCTGGGCAGGGACCTGGTTATTTCCTCTCCCTCTCAACTGGCTCCTTTCTGTAGCTGATGGACACATACCGTCTCTCCAGTCCCCACACACAAATCAAACAGCCCTCCCTCAGCGCTGCCACTCGGGTTGTCCTCCATGCACAGCCAAGCTTCTTAGAAGACTGGCGGGCATTCCCTGCCTCCACTTTCTCACCTCCCACTCGGTTCCCCTCCGCCACCACTGCCCGTGACTGCCACTCCCAGCGGTGCACTGAGGAGGGGCACAATGACCTCCCCAGGGCCTAAGGTCACTCCTCGACCTCCCTGCGCACATCCCACACTCCCTTCTCTGCCCCCGGCTTGGTGACTGGAACCTCCTGGGTCTCCTCTGACCTCCCTGACTCTTCCTTCTTCAGATCCTCTGTGGACTCCTCTTCCTCCTCCCACCTCGCACCTGGCCAGCATCCCTGCAGGGATCCGTCCTGGGCCTTCCTGTCATCTCACTCCCCTGCTTACCCAGCCCGGGCCTCTGCGTCACTGTTCCGGAGGTGGCTGGACGCCCACCCCCCAACCTCGAACTCAACATTGCTAAACCCACCTGGTTATCAGTCCCCACCCGACTTCCTGTGGTTTCAGTTTCAATAAGCGGTGCTCCCAGCCGCTGAGTTACTGGAGCAACTCCGAGACGCCTTATCTTCCTACAGATGGTACCTCCATCCTAATTGGTGACCAAGACTGGTCGATTCTACTTTTTCAACATCTCTCATGTCCAGCTCCTCCTCCCATCCTGGTTCTTGTCTTACCCTGGTTCAGCGCGTGACTGGCCCTTACCTAGACTATGGTGATGTGCTTCTAACTCGTCTTCCTGCCTCAGAAACTGGCCCTTTCATTATTTGCCAGCCTGCAGCTAAAATGTAGATTTGATCATCTCTCCCACCCCCGCTGGAACCTCTTCCATGGTGTCCACTGCGCCCTACAGGACAGTTCCAAAACCCTTCAGCAAAACAGACAATTCCTGCCGGGCCTGCCCATGCTCCAGAGTCGACCTGTACGCTGCCCCGACCTTGACCTAGAGCTGTTCCAAGTGCAGCTACGGTTTCCTATCTCAGGGCCTTTGTTTATCTGAAGGCCTCTGCCTGGGATGTCCTTCCTACCCAGTCCGCCAGGCAAACACATTCTCATTTAAGCTAAGGTGTCTTGCATATATTATCTAATTTGATCTGCACAACAACCCTTTGTGATGGGTACTATTATTAGTCCCATTTTGCAGGAAGGAGATAGACTCAGAGGGATTAAGTAATTTGCTAAAGGTCACTATATATATACACTACAGTGTGTCAAAGAGCAGGATTTGGCCCTGGCCAGTTTGGCTTAGCAGTTAGAGCGTCGGCCTGCGGACCAGAGAGTCCTGGGTTCGGTTCCTGCTAAGGGCATGTACCTCAGTTGCAGTTTGTCCCCGGCCCCGGTTGGGGTCGTGTGGGTGGCAACCAGTTGATGTGTCTCTTTCACGTCGATGTTTCTCTCTCTCTCTTCCTTCCTTTCTCCCTTCTGCTCTATCTGAAGATAAATGCAAAAAATGCCCTTGGGTGAGGATAAAAAAAAAAAAGAGCAGGATTTGAACCCAAGCCAAACTGCTCTCAAGTCCATGTTCTCAGCCACCTGCTATCCTGCCCTCCAGGATGGCACCAGAGATATTAATTAGAGCCATAGATTTACTGAAGGTTGAGAACTCCTTGGAGGAGTAAAGGTGATTTCAGAGTTTCTAGCATAGAGAACTGGGCTCCCATCCCAGCTCCGCACAGAGGAGACCCTCCTAAGTGTTGAATGAGTGAGCCAGATGGGTAATCAAAGACTAGGGGAGGGCGAATACGGGAGGCAAAAGGAGCTCCGTGTTTTACACACTGAGCCAGGGACGTGCCACCGGCACGTGAGCCTCAGCCTGGAGGCTGCCACTGCCCAGCTGGGAGTTGGTGACCACCAAGCCACGGGAATTAGTGCGCTCGCCGAGGGACAGTAAGTTTTCCAAAGTTTCGGTAAATTTTTTTTAAATGCATCGTTTTTTGTGTTTTCATTTCTTTCCAGGACACACTGGCCTGAGAATAACAGGTGGCTGGGGCTTCCGAAGCCCCGTGCTCACCAGTGAGAGGAGAGGAGACTGACAGAGCTGGGCTGCCCTCTTCAAATGCCAGAGGCTGCCTCGCGGGACATGTGGGCACCTCCTCGTCCCTGCTCCAGAGCCGGGCTGAGTGGAAGTCGAAGGACGCCAGCAGAATGTCTCAGACCGCCTGCTGCCCGTGGAGAGACAGCCTCCCGCGAGGCAGGGACTCCGTCATGCACAGGCCCGCAGAGGAAGCAGGGGTCCATGCACCAGGGAGAGGTACACTGAGTCAGCTCTGAGAACCTTCTAAGCCGGCAGCTCTCTGACTCAGAGCCAGAGTTTGACTGAGAGCTACCCAAAATGTTTCAGAATGTTTCTTCCTCAGAAACACAAGTTCCCAAACTAACAGACAGGAATACTATTCTAGAGGGCACCCCAGTATCATATGTGTGCAGGACCAGGACCTGGGGCAGGGTTGGGGGAGGTGGGGACACGGTCACCTGGTCCCTGCTAAAATGTAGCCAAGTGACCAACCACTGGTATGGATGAGAGAGGTGATAGGCAGATCCTTAGCACAGCCCCTGACATCACCCACCGGAGGCAGCGAGCTGCCCCCTGCCCCTGCCCCACCCTGCCCCTGCCCTGCCCTCACAACAGATGAGCAGCAGCATCCTCCCGGAAGGTGCTTCCCCAGCCCCCCTGGGGTGAGTGCTGGCAGTCCGCCCTCTCTCAGGAGGCAGGTCTCCCCGACCAAACACCAGAACCCAATCAGAGAATTACAGAACTGGGGGACTTAGGAGCCCCAATTAACAGATGAGGAAACTGAGGTCCATGACCACAGAGCTAAATATTGGTCTAAACTGCTTTTGAAAGCAGATGTCTTCAATCCAGCACCTTTCGTTCAACACACACACTGCAAACACCAGCTCTCTGTCAGACACTGTGAGTCCCTAGACGTGGAAAGATTGATGAATCGTTGTCCCTGAGGTAGAGGAGAAAAACATGGAAGAAACAGGACAGTGTGGCTGGGTGAGGTGCACACTATGGAGACAGGTGTAGGAGCGAGCCCTCCCTGCTTCCCACCCCCATGACAACCTGGGCCCCAAACACCCCCATTTCCCTCTGGCAGGACAAGGTCCATCTACGTGCAGAAAGAACTTTCCTGGGAAGTTAGGAGACACAGAGGGTGTCAGACACTGGTGACTTCCCATGAGACCGTGGGTCCAACAGGATAGGGGCTGGGCGATGAGCGGAGAGTGCCGGCAGGTTTGGCCAGAGTGAGAGGGGGCCCAGCGAGTACATGGACAGGGCCCAGCGAGTACATGAACAGGGCCCAGCGTGTACATGAACAGGCCCCAGCGAGAACATGAACAGGGCCCAGCGTGTACATGAACAGGGCCCAGCGTGTACATGAACAGGGCCCAGCGAGTACATGAACAGGGCCCAGCGAGTACATGAACAGGGCCCAGCGTGTACATGAACAGGGCCCAGCGTGTACATGAACAGGGCCCAGCGAGTACATGAACAGGGCCCAGCGTGTACATGAACAGGGCCCAGCGTGTACATGAACAGGCCCCAGCGAGAACATGAACAGGGCCCAGCGTGTACATGAACAGGGCCCAGCGTGTACATGAACAGGGCCCAGCGAGTACATGAACAGGGCCCAGCGAGTACATGAACAGGGCCCAGCGTGTACATGAACAGGGCCCAGCGAGTACATGAACAGGGCCCAGCTGGAAGCAGTGGAGCAGAAAGGGGATGGAAGTTTTCATTTCGTGAAAGCTCAGTCTGCACTCTCTCCTGTGACCGGCCCTCTTAAGAGTTCAGCAAAGGGGGTGCTGTGCTTCCACACCTCAGATGGGGAGACTGCGGCCCCAGGTCATTCAGGCCGAGGTGTCTAAGCCAGGTCCCAAACCACTGATTTCACTTTGTTTCTCCAAACTGTGAGTGCCAGGCCAAGATAAGTGACTGAAATAGCATCCTCTCCTGCCCAAAATTAGGACAAAGCACAGATTAGCTGTGAGCTGGGGATGGGACAAGGGTGCCCAGCTTGGTGCTGGTCTATCAGCAACATGGCCCTGCCAGGAGGCCAGTGGAGGCCAGATCACGTGTGAGAGCCACGGCTGCAGGCCCTGAGCTGGGAACAAGGACCCCAGGAGAACGGGGGGGGGGGGGGGGGGGACAGCTGGCCCCTTGGCCCCAGTGCCTGCAGTGGGGAGGGGAGGCGGCCAGGCTGAGAGGAACTGAGTGCGGGGTCGTGCTGGGAACTGCTCCTCCCCCTCTCTCAGGCCGCATTGTCAGCCGGGCTGTATGATTCTGCCGTTTTCTTTGGCCTGTGTGACACCTTCCACACGGGTCAGGGTGACATACAGTAAGACAGACTCCCTACCAGTGAGGACACGGGGCTGGGAGGGGCTGTGGGACTCCCCGGTCCATGACTGGTTTGGGGAAGGAGAAACCTGGTCTGAGGCCCACTGACTCCTGGTCCTGTCGGTTCCTGCCCGTCCCTCCTACCTACATTCCTGGCTCCTTTCTGGGGTTGACTAGACAATGGTCCAGGTAAAAGGTCACACGCTTTGTCCAGTTCAGGCTCCATGAGGGAAGCGGCTTGGTAGCATCTGGGACTGTCAACCCTCCGGCACATCTCCCTGAGCACCTGCGACCTCCAGAGACTAAACAGTCCCAGCCTTCTGGATTAGAGTCATCTGGTCATTGACAGACTGGAGCCCTGCCAAGATGGCCTGGAGCCAAGGCCCCTGCGTCCAGGCCAGCCACAGCAGCCCGACATTCAGCAGGAAGCAGACCCACTCTCCAGGAGGAGGTGCTCACACCCACATCTGTCTGCACGGCCCCAAAACAATGAGTAACGAAAGGTTCCTGTTTCCTGAGCATTCGCTCAGATGCTCCTCACCCTGTCCTCACGGCCTGTAAAAGGTAGAATCAAACCCTCATGGTCCAGATGAAGAAAGGTTCACACGTTCCAACCCAGAAAGGTCACAGGACTGGCCAGACACACTGTGAGAAGAGGTCGTGGCCGAGACCTGACCCCGGTCGTTCTGACTCTGAGTTCTGGTCTTTGTCGATCTCTTGCCGCTGCCCAGGTGTGGCTCTGTCTGTGCTCCTCCACCCAAGGAACCAGGATTATATCCAGATTCACACATGTGACAAAAAACACCTAGATACCCAGGTCCCAGCGGAGCAGGTCACCCTGAAGGGCCAGTGATGGGGGAGACCAGCTGTCACAAGAGGATGTCACAGGTCTGCTTACTCCTGCCTGCCCTTTCCAGCCCAGGTCGGACCATTTTCCCAACGTCAGCCCACTGGAAGTGCACCCTGGGGGCCTGGCCAGTATTCCGCTGGGTGCCAAGTCACTCCTGGGCACCCAGATGGAAAATGACTCCTCTCAGCCTGAAAGTATCCAAAGGGAGTAAAGTCTACACTGTCTTCGGTGCAGTGTGTGCATGTGTGTGTGTGTGTGTGTAGGAGGACATGAGGCAGGTCTGTCTCACTGGGGATTCTCTGACTCAGGTTCAGAAAGGATCCAGCAAGAGAGAAGAGTCGAAGGAACTAACTCACAGGGGCTCCCGCAATATAATGGTACTGAATGAGGTTGCTTAGCAGACTGCCCCCTAAATCATACAGCTACCTGTGCCTCTGGGATCCCCCAGTGAAGGTGACATCACGTTGTTCTAAAGCTACAGGGCAGCGTCAAAATTCCCTCTCCCGTGAGGGTCCAAAGCAATACAAGAATCATGATCCTGGACACCAACTTATGAAATCACCCAAGTGGCTGCTTAGGGGGTGGTTTTTGGGGTGAGGACAGGCTCAGCCAGGCAAAAGAAATGGCCACTGCCTGACGGGTAAAGGGCAGGGCACCTACCTGGACTTCACGTGTGTGATAGGCGATGATCAAACCCAAGAGGATGATGGTGGACAGACTGATAAGGCATTTCAGGGCCAGCGAAAACATGGAATCCTGCAGGAGAAACGGAGAGAGAATTACGGAGAGCCAGGAATGGCCCAGGACAGGGACATCTCATTTCCCTCCGAGGATACGTAAAGGTGGAGGCCTGGGGGCACAGGAGGGACCGTCACCAGAAAGTGCCTGGGCTGGGCCCTGGGCTGGCCCCTCCCAGCAGCTGCTCCCCACCCCAGTCTCTGTTCTCTAGGGTTAAATCATTGTTGCATTCCTGGGACGAGCTCTACTTGGGTGTGATGGATTACGTTTGTTATACTGGCTGGATTCCGTTTGCTGATGTGTTGTTTAGAATTTCTGCCTCCATGCTCATAAGTCATCGGAATGTAATTTTTTGGTGCTGCTACGATATGGTTTGAGCATCAATATGTGCCAGCTTAGGTCTCTCCTCTTAACAAGCCTGAACCAGAGGATTCCCGAGGTCCTCCTATCTTTGACCATGTAGAATTTTTTGTTATTATTTTTATTTAATTTATTTATTTTTGTTACAGATGTTTCTCCTCCCCCTCCCCGACCATGCAGACTTTTTTCAGGAATGAATTAGATTGTCCTGGCAGCTGCTCTCGTCTCCTGTTCTAGGTCAAGGGCAGGAAGGGAACAAGGGCGGCAGAGGAGCTACTGCGAGAACGGGGGCTGAGCACAGGAGCAAAGAGGGGTCCTGGGCAGGAGAAGGGCGCCGAGGGTCCCTCCTGTGAGGCTGGGGGAAGTAGGGGGGCCATTCAGCCTTCACTGCAGCCTTCCAGCCCCTGGCAGCTCAGAGGGCCCGCACGGTTGGGAGCAGAGCTCTGGGGCCAGCCCCCCGGGTCCAAACCCTGACACAACCACTAGCTATGTGACCTCACTCCTCCTCTGTGCTCGGCTGCCTCCTGTGCCACATGGGACAACATACCTCACGGGGCTGCTGTGGAAAGGAGAGGGAGTGTGTGTCTGTAAAGTGCCTGGACCGGTGGCCGGGCGTGTAACGATGAGCTACTACTGTCATTTACTTTGCTTCCTCTACAAACTCAGGGCAACTCTGTGCCTTCCTGGGCATGTGAAACGCAGGGAGTAGAGGCGGCGTCCAACCTCAAAGGAAGTCAGGAACCCAGCCCTAAGCACGGGTAGCAGATGAGAGGCAGGTGGCCTGGGCGTCCTGAGAGATGGACGCCTCACAGGAAACAGCCTCTGTGCTCCCAGAGGTGGGGTCATAACGGCGCGACTTCTGCAAAGTGCCTTAGAGTTTACAAGGCGCTTTCAAGTGCTAGTTCTCATCCATGCTCACGACCTCTACCAGCCTCTATCCCAACTTCATAGATATCACGGCAAGGGCACGGAGAGGTCATGCTGTGTCAGAGCTCAAAACTAAGGCCTCTGCTCCCAGGACAGAGCACTCCACAAGCCCTCAGGCACACTCCCCAGTGGGACAGAGTAGACACATGTTCTGAGACGTATCCATTTACACAGACCCACATGACAGCTTATGACAATAATGGAAGGTATTTAAAGGTAGGAAATGATTAACGGCCTGGTGAAACCTCCAGTAAACCGCGTTGGGGTGGGGGATAACGAGAGCAAGCCATCACTGTCAGGATAGCTTTCAGAGACAGTGACAGGTGGCTGGGATCTGCAGGGTTGGGTAATGTTGTCCAACATGGCAACCACTAGTCATGCCCAAATCCATGCTCACAACTCCCCTCTGCAGGCTGAGACGGAGTGGGAGCAGCTCCCCCTGGTCTCTGTCGACCTACCATTTATATATTTGATACAGTTTCCGGGGCCCACTTTATGCCAGGCCTGAGCTAGCACTTGGGGGCGCAAGAGAAAACGAAGGAAGTAGTTCATTCACTCACTGCTTCTTTCGTTCATGACAATTTCAACCACTTCTCACCTCTTGAGCACCTACTAGACGTCCAACAGGGTCCTAGACGCTGTAAGATATTTATAGAGAGCCCTTGCCCACCAGAAGCTTCCCATGTGGTTTCCAAACAAACTCTGACTTTCTGCACTGTGTGGGGTCACCCAGCTGTGGGGAACGGTCTCGTTCTGTGCTGCCTAGCCAACGATCGAAACACGAGCTGCCTTCCTGCGGCCTCTGTCACGGCCTACAACCTAGCGAAGAGCAGCCTGCTGTCATTCGGTCAGCACACAGGCACAGGGGCCGGTGGTGTGCTGCTCCACCTGTGAGCACAAAGGAAACAGACCACAGTTCCAGGCCTAGAGAAGCTTCTGGTCTTCTAAAGCATTTGATGCCTGAGACATGGCCCAAGCCACAGGCCTAGATGGGACTGAAAGATCAGGCAGTGAGTTCAGGGACACGCAGACTGTTTTAGGATAAGACAAACCTCCCGACTGGGATCAACTGGGAAGAGCTCACAATGTTTTTGAGCCAGAAATGACCATGACTTTCTTCTCAAAGGGGTCTGAAGGTGTCTGGAGAGCATCATGCTTCCCCAGGGAGGGGTCTGGGATCAGCTGCACATTTCAACCTCTAATGTATTTCTTTTGGCAGAAATTAACTGAAATCATTATCCAAGTCTATTTCCATCGTTTTTAGAGGAAGAGGTGAAGGGAAGGGGGTCAGATGCTGTCTCCTCTCCTGCCAGCCTCTTCCTATTGTTCTAAAACTTGAGGCCTTTACATAAGAGGCAACTCCTACCTGCTTCGTGGTTTGGGCTGGTGCAGTCTCCTTGCCCAGCTCCAGCCCTGTAGGGAGATGAGCTGTGCACTGGGCCGGCCAGGACACTCACTCCTTTACAGATGTCCTTGCATTCTCTATCACGCATCAATAACAAATAAATCATCAAACTTTTTTTTTATCCTCACCCGAGGACATTTTTCCATTTTTTGTTCAGATAGAGTGGGAGGGAGAGAGAGAGAGAGAAACATCGATGTGAAAGGGACACATCGAGTGGCTGCCTCCCACACGACCCAACCAGGGCCGGGGACAAACTGGAACCGAGGTACGTGCCCTTAGGGGGAACCGAACCCAGGTCTCTCTGGACCGCAGACCGATGCTCTAACCGCTGAGCCAAACATTTTTAATAGCTAGAAAACATGTCAAAAAATTCTGGCTGGATTAGAAATGTTTTCTATTTGGTAATATGTTTAGTTATCATCTTTTCTTTGCTGCCTGAACTCCAATGAAGCTTGAAATTGATATGGTTCTTGGGTGATGACAGTGACTCAGGGCTGGCTAATCAGCTGCCTATAGCACATGTTGGGGGCACCTGCCACACCTGCTCTGCCCCACTCACTCCCATCCAAGGGCCAAAAGGGACTCATAGGACCGGAAGAGAGTCCTATGGTCAACTGGTCAACTCGTCTCCCCTGCAACTCAGAACTTTTCAACAACAAATAATAATCCCTAATACAAAGGAATGCTTAGGAATTATATCTCAACAGATAAGTCATTTTTAAGCCGTTTATTCCTCAATGCCCCAAAATATTAGGATGGGTAAGTAAATTTGTGAACAGCCAGTGATGGAACACTATGTAGCCACTTTAAAACCATTGCTATAGCCCTGCTGGTGTGGCTCAGTGGTTGAGCATCAACCCATGCACCAAGAGGTCTCGGGTTCAAGTCCCAGACAGGGGATATGCCCAGGTTGTGGGCTGGTCCCCAGTAGGGGGCATGCAGAAGGCAGCCAACAGATGTATCTCTCTCACATGGATGTTTCCATCTCTCTCTAAAAATATCACATTAAAAAAAAAAAATGCCATTGCCAAGGAAAATATTTGAAGATGTGAGAAAAGGTTCAGGATGTAATATCAAGTGAAAAACCCAAACCCCAAAACTGTATGTATGGTATATTTCCAATTAATTTTTAATTTTTTACTTTTTCAGTGTAAAAAAGACTGTGCAAATACAGTATCGTGCTATAAAGTGACAGGCAGGGTATCGGCTCACAGCACAAGTTTGTACGCTCCTACCAGGGAGTGACTGAGAATCTAGGAAACACAACATTGATACCATATCACCTCTGACCCTCTGAGTTGAATAAGTGCCTAATAAGTGCTTCCTGAAACTAGTTAATAATAGCGCTTTTATTTTTACCTAACATTTACTGAGTACTGACTGTGTACCAAGTCCCAGACTAGGCCTGCTACACAATTAACTTACATTCTCACTCTACAGGCAAGGTCATAATGTCTCCATTTTACTAATAAAGAAACTAATAAGTGACTTTTCCAAGGTCATACAACTAGCCCAGATTTTAGCTATCTGCCAGACTTTTTATACATATATCATGCTTCTCCCCTTCCTTCAGATGAACTGGGTTTCCATGTGAGATAGTGAACTCCTGTCTTCCCAGTGGAGGCTCTGGCCTTCAGGGGTTCCACGGAGTCAGAGGAGAAACCGCAAGACACCCACATTCACGTGGTCCCTGTTCTGTCCCAGGCCATCAGCAAGCCCTTCACAGATCTGTGATTTCTCATTGATGACAACACCTGTGATAAAGTACTGCTGTAGGGCTGACCAGGCAAGGTGGGCATCACCAACCCACTTTCACAGAGAAAACTGGAGCTCCGAGAAACTGCCTAACTTGTCCAAGGATGTGCCAACAGACGGCAAAGTCAGGACTGAAGAAGCCAGGATCACTCCAGACCTGTCTGCCTCCAGGTCCCAGGCTGCCCACACCAGCACCCCACCATGCCCTGCTGGCCTCCAGTTTCTGCGATGAGATTCTCAGACTTCTCCGGGCCTTCCTCCCCCGAAGCTGTGCAGAGTGTGATGAAGTGTTTCTTGCTTCTGAGCCAGCCATATAAATTGCTCTCCTGCCTGCCTGGTGGCTTCCAAAGACAGGTCAGAATCGTAATGATTACAGTAGCTCTTCCCAGAGACATTGACGTCTTCAATGTGTTTTATTGTTTGGAACATTTGAAAAGAACAGAAAACTATTTTTGCAGGCAGAGTCCTAGAGAGGCACGTTCAGGAGTGAAATATTATCGGAACCGAGGTTAGCAGGAGCAGGTGCCTTCCCCAACCATGCTGATGCTCCCAACGTGAGTGTGTGCATATG